GAAACGTGAAAGGAAGTTGAGACATGGAACTGTGTGTTGTCAAGATTTACAAATAACACCGAGCGAGGTGATGCTTGCGCTAAATGATTTTTTTGTCGTTTTTCCGAAAAAAGCAACACCTTATATTCCGTTGGCGTAGGGAAGACGAATGAACAGTTAGCGCACGTTCGAGTCTTTGTGATGAAGAGGTAAAAGTGTTATGTCATTGTGCTGTGACATCTTTTCGAGAAAAAAAACACCTTCTTAGGAGGCTAAGTTGGAACTTTATTTAAAACCTGATCCGTCAAGAATTCATAAACCACAAGAGCCCCTGCCTGAAATATGACATCTATATTTCCCCATATCCTGGCATCTTTTTTAAATCACTGCAGTTCTGCCTCTGTTCCCCGGGGCCTTTAACTGAGCTGACACTTTTCTTAAGGCTGAGGACAGTTCCCCAGATTCATCATGTCACTTCAAGTATAGCGTATCCTTCAGCCCGCTAATTACACTAGCCGTCACTGCTGTTAGCCTATCAGCGCTCCTTTGTACCTGAATGTCGGCCTGTCTGGCGTGGACAAGAAGTAACCTCGCCGTTTGACCTTCATCCGTCAGATCCAAGCCATTTTGGCAGTGTCCCGACTCTCTCAACTCCAAGATACATTCCATCCTTAATACTCGATTCCTCAAGATGAACTGTGAACCGACATTTTGGGTAATAGACTTTCAGAGCAATTAAGGCCCTAAATGAAAGCTGAAGTCTTCCCTCAAAAACAGTAAGATAGTAAAAGATAGAGGGAGAGGCAGGGAGATAAAAGTCCTTAAATTGGATCAAGGGCAGCCTGCAGGCATAGGAGAGATGACCCCCTTCATTTTCCTGGAAATTGGCGAACAGCTTTGCCCAAGTATTTGCTGCATGATTCATACCGTTTGGTCGATAACTTGACACTATTGTTGGCATAGGAATGTGGAAGTAGCAAGGCAACAATTTGATGTATATTTTTAAAGAGTATTCTGTTCTTTTTACTCATTCTGCAATATTTGGAGCAGAGGCATCAGTCCAAGCAATAATACAACTCTTCCAACTTCTCTAGATGGATTATGAGGTTTTGAGATATAGTGTCCTGGCTTGGGTCTTTTCTGGTTATAATGTTTTACTTCTGCCCTGGCCCTACTCTTAATAATCATAATAATCATAATGATAATAGTGCTTTTCAGGACACTCCAGATTCATTCCAGGCAATGTGGGTGAAGTGTCTGGCCTAAGGACACAACAAGCAGCCGCCCCACTGATTTATATTATAATTTATATAAGATTCAATTTATATAATGTTTTAGCACGGGTTGGCAGCAAAATGGAATTGAATTATTTTTAAAGACATTCAATGATCAAGATGGCACAACTTCTTGAAATCAGTCTTGAAAACTGTCATGAAATCTGGAGTTTGGTTTCAAAATGTCCCTTTCAAAGAACTGGCGGGCGTCTGTTTGTTTCAGTGGAAAGGAGGCTCCAGAATTTGTTTAGAATCGTTTAGAGGAAATGAATGGGCTCAGAATTTGTCAGATCGTCTCCACAATAAACAACAGGCTCTTCAAAGTTTCTGATACTCTTCCTCTTCTCTCAAGAACTACCTTCATCCTCATCATCATGATCATAGCCGGCGGTGCGGCAGAGAATACGATTAACAATGTGTTTTCTCCTGCGGCTTCTCCCGAGTCAGCCGTGTCATCCGCGCTTGTTTCAATCCCCGCTACATTCACCCAGAATGCTTCTACCACGGCCACAGTGTTTTTAGACGTAGGGGAAACCGGAACACCTGGGGGTAACCTACACAGACACAGACAGAACATGCAAACTTCACACAGAAGAGGTTCCAGTGGTGGAATCGGAGCCAGGACCCTCTTGGTTTGAAGTACGCGTTAACCACTGTTCCACTCGCTGCATAGTCACTCAGAGATGACTACTCTATTAGTGATGGTGGATAAGTAAGTAGAACAGTAAATGTTTCTATACTAACCATAAATAAAAAAGCATAGATTGTTCTCTCAGGGATGGATGGAGCACGGTATTGATAGATTGGAGCAGTCTATGCAGTTCGTCTGACTTTTACGGTGAAAAAGGAGAAAAAGCCAAAGACAAATCTCTCTCGTTGAACCAGTCCCTCTACTATTGCATCTTCAACTCTCAGCCTTGGACGAAATTGCAGCATTTCTTTTAAATCATGAACGGGCATTTCTTTTTTTGAGGGGCCACATTGGGATATTGCCATGTTGTGGAGAGCCAGACCTGTTTTCATGGATTTTTTCCTAAAGCCTGGTTCACACGGCAGGATATTTAGGCCGATTTAGACCCGATTTACCCCTTACGACAATCTTAAGAAACGCTCCGATTTCCGTAACAAGATCTTACAGATTATCCTGCCGTGTGTGGTGTGTTAAGACTGCACTCGTCGCTCGGAAGGACATCGGGACTGCTCCCGATCTCAAATCGGGGATATCCAACATGTTGGATTGTTTTGGCCCGATTTCTCTTTGTGTGTGGTGTCCCCCGAGGACAGACGTGCGCGTTGCCATGACTGCGGCGTGTAGCCAATCAGAAGACGAGACGAGGCGGTGAGGAAACGCCTCCATATCACGATGTAGCAAGTATAGTCCATGCTCGTGTTGTCTACACTTCTTTGACCATCGCCTTTTCTTTTGATTACGTCTTTTCTCCGATAAAAACAAACTATCGCCAATGCATCCTCTTCGTCCGCTATGTGTGTTTACTCTGAAGTCACGCTTGATCTCGCGAGACCTGAGATTTCCGTCTGATCTGTGAATACTCGGGGGGGGAATCGGTTCGTGTGTGGTTTGCGTGATTTTTGCCGTGTGGCTGCGCACCACACACTGTACGACCAAAGTGGTTAGACCCGTGATTTTTTATCTCCCTGTGTGGGGTCTCACACAGAGAAAAATCGGCCGACAATTTTAAAATCGTCTCGTGTGAACCAGGCTTTAGGTCTTTCCTTCCTGCTGCTGTCAGACTGCACAATGAGAACTGCTGAGCCTGCACATGTTATTCATTTGTAAATAGTAAATACTGTATTCATGTGCCATAGTGCAATTTCAGATTGTCCACTGAATGTCACTTTATCTACTTATCCTGCCAAATATGTATTCATCTTTAAACTATATAGATAGATAGATATAGATGCACTTTTTTTATTGATTCTAAACAGAGTGTGGTTTGTAACTAACAGATTTTTTTTTATATTGAGGGCACGTGATGCAACAGTGTAGTGGTGTAAAATTTCAGCCCTACTACGCTGCTTGGAGACCTGGGCTTGTACTAACCAACCCCCAGGTCTCCAAGATGCCCATTCAAATCTAATAGACAACGGATGCATTTCAAAAGAAAAAAGCTCAGGATGACAATGATTAGATTAGATTAGATTCAACGTCATTGTCGATGCAGGTGGCCACTTGTCCATGCTGGAGACTGGTTTAAGCTAGCAATGCCCTATCCACATAATATAATTCATCCATGGTTCTAGCTGAGAGAAGAGAAGAGGGGGGGAGAGCCACATGCAGTGAACAGGGCTCTGGAAGACTATATTATAATGTTGTCTGTGTAGAAGCAGATGTCATTCAATGAAATAGTTGAAAAACCTTGAAATATCTTTAGTCACAGGCGAAAGATATTTTGGCAGATGCAAAGCTACTGATGTATACACTCAATTTCCACTCTGCTGCGTTGAAAGCGACTAGCAGACTCTCGGAACAAATACATTAGACTGTACTACAAATCAATAGTGAAGAAGTGAACAGGGATGATGCATAATATTAATATTGCCTTCACTCCACGCCTGAATATGCGTCGTTAATCTGGGTCTGCTTGGTTTCTTTGTGGTTTTATTTCAATGAGATTCAGATGGATTTCACTCAAACCCAGGCTGACTGGTGAAAATAAAGTTCAACTATGGAGTTTAGTGGTATAAGATTACTCTGGTGGCCTGTGGATGTTGGGAACAATCCAAATCCTGCCTCTTATTTAAAGTCAAAATAATCTATGTTGGGAAAATCCTTTTTTCGAACGGAATGCATAAGGAATACGGAGGTGATGCAGAAGTGACTGTAACCGGGAGCGAGTGTGTGAAAGTGGATGTGCTGAGAGTGATAAGTGCTGTCAGTGGGTTGGTACAGCCGGCTCCATCTGCGCTCCATCAGGACGACGCAGGGAAGAGAAAAGTGCAAATTGCTAACAGAAAGAACCGCTTCTTTAATCTCATTGTTGCTATAAAAGGTCTTTAGACTAGAAAATGTCATTGAGGTGAGGTGCTTAACAGGGGTTTGACTATGGATGTGTTAGAGATTGGTTCCTTTAATAATAAATAATAAATACAAAGAATAATCATCAGTTTCATGGAGCACTTTTTGGACACTCAAAGACGCTTCACATGTCATCATTCTTTCACGCCATACACGGTGGTGATAAACAACCACAGCTGCCCTGGGGCACACTGACAGAACGGAGGCAACCAGTACGTTCTATCGACCCCCTCCGACCACCAACCAAGCGGTAAATCAGTTATAGGAAAGAAGTTGGGCTGGAACAAGATAATTTAAATAGTACTAATTTAGTAGTTTTGATTATTGTTTTCTGAAACTTACATGTAACTTAAACATACTAAGATAATTCTATAAAGACTGTGCAATGAAATAAAAATTAGTTCACAACAAAACCCAAAAAAGGACACAGGACAACCAATATGCAGACTAAAACAAAGTATCAATAAGAAGAAAATATGGATTTCATGACATCATCTCTATGAATATGTTCTACAGGGGCATCACTAAAGCTTTGTTTTGGTCAAATGTATAAAACATGTCATTCACTGAGCTTCCCTGATATAAACAAACAAAGAATTAATCAAAATTGAGAATTGAGAACTAATCAATCAATCAAAGGTATAACTGGCAACTAATCAACTGGCTAAAGAAGTGAATGAAGTCTGAAGTGAATGCTCTTGTGTTGACAGTGTGGAGCTGGACTTCAAGCTGCAGGAGGACAAGCTGCAGCCGCTGATGAAGCGACTGTGCCCCATGGAGCAGCAGTGTCCTGCCCTGCCCTACCCCAACGAAGTGTTCACCTCCACCCCCAAGAGGAAGTCCAAGTCCGAGGCCAAGAAGCATGCTCGCTGGAAACTGTGGTTCCTTTGAAGACTTTGAAACTGTAGAACATACATTTTACTGGGCACATGGTGAATATTCTTGAGCAACAAAAAGATGGGCATTAAAAACCCACAGGAGAAAATGACACTGGAAAGGCCTGGATTCTTTTGAGATTGTGCTGAGGAATATGTTCACTTTTTTGGGGGGGCTGAAGAGGACGACAATACGACTGTTCATTTGGTGAGATCCTTCAAACACTTAGGCCTCATACACAGGTCTTATACTGTAGATACACATTTCTTATACTTTACATACACAGGCCTTATACTGTACATACACAGGTCTTATACTGTACATACACAGGCCTTATACTGTACATACACAGGTCTTATACTGTACATACACAGGTCTTATACTGTACATACACAGGTCATATACTGTACATACACAGGCCTTATACTGTACATACACAGGTCTTATACTGTACATACACAGGTCTTATACTGTACATACACAGGCCTTATACTGTACATACACAGGTCTTATACTGTACATACACAGGCCTTATACTGTACATACACAGGTCTTATACTGTACATACACAGGTCTTATACTGTACATACACAGGCCTTATACTGTACATACACAGGTCTTATACTGTACATACACATTTCTTATACTTTACATATACAGGTCTTATACTTTACATATACAGTACAGGTCTTATACTGTACACACATAGGTCTTAAGGTGCTTTCACACCGCCAACGCTGGAGCGCTAACGCCTCACTCACCAGACGCATATTCTCTAGTTTTCAGACGCAGGGGTCTTCAGACCAAAAGTCCTGGCCAGCGGTGGCGCGCCAGAAGTGGCGGAAGTAGCGGGTGGGCTTTGATGCTAACGGAGTAAAGCTAGCGGCTTTTTGTGTAAAGTTCTTCTCCAATAATGCACCTCTGCAGCGTCTCTGTCTCCAGAGACCTTCCAGAGACTTTATTTTATTATTAAACGGTACTTCCGCATCGGGAACACGCTCAGAGCAGTTGCATAAAGTCACGGGAGCCTGAAAACGCATATGTTCACTATCACTGTGTCCCCCATTGTCAACCCTGGTTTTAGTCCTGGTGTAGCTCTGGTTTTGGCTGTTTACAGTATGTTCAGTCTGCTCGCTCAGACCACTAATGTCCCCGTGACCACTTTGCAGCTCTCTGATTGGTCGCTGCACGAGCGTCCGAGGAAACGCTCAGCAAAATGTATCTCCTGCGTGCGTCTATTTTCAGCTCCTGCGCCTCTGCCGCGCAGTCCGTGCGTGCGTTCCAAGACACACATGCAGTTTAACGCTCAAACGCGCGTCACCATTGACTTTGTATTGAAAGTCGACGCAACGCATGATCCGTCTGAAAGCAGCATTATACTGTACATACACAGGCCTTATACTGTACATACACAGGTCTTATACTGTACATACACAGGTCTTATACTGTACATACACAGGTCTTATACTGTACATACACAGGCCTTATACTGTACATACACAGGTCTTATACTGTACATACACAGGCCTTATACTGTACATACACAGGCCTTATACTGTACATACACAGGCCTTATACTGTACATACACAGGTCTTACTGTATACTGTACATACACAGGTCTTATACTGTACATACACAGGTCTTATACTGTTACACAGGCTTATACTGTACATACACAGGCCTTATACTGTACATACACAGGTCTTATACTGTACATACACAGCTTATACTGTAACATACAACATGTACATACACAGTTTATTACTGTACATACATACATACACAGGCCTTATACTGTACATACACAGGCCTTATACTGTACATACACAGGTCTTTTACTGTACATATATAGGTCTTTTACTGTACATATATAGGTCTTATACCGTACGTACACAGGTCTTATACTGTACATACACAGGTCTTATACTGTACATACATAGGTTTGAGACAAAATACAACCACGGTTCATGAGGAGATGAAAGATTTGTATGAGGAGACACAACATACATTAGAATAATGATGTGGGTCTATCCACAATTTTAGCTTTACATATTATTACATTTATGATATAATAATGCAGGTTTTATACAGCGCTTTTTTGGACACTCAAAGACGCTTCACATGTCATTATTCTTTCACTCCATACACGCTGGTGATAAACTACTACTGCAGCCACAGCTGCCCTGGGGCACACTGGCAGAAGCGAGGCAACCAGTATGTGCCATAGGCCTCCTCCGACCACCACCAATATATATAATTATATATACAATTAACCAAACAAATGTTTAGAATATTTTTAGTATAATTTTTCTTTTACTAATTTTGTGTGCCCAAACCCAAAAAGTCTTTGAAAGTAAGATTTTATGAACAAATCTGACATCCCATTGTCAGATGCTTTTGTTAGAAAACATATGTTTTTCAGACTTAAGAAACTTGTGAAATTGGAAGATGGTCCACTCTTTTTCACTTTTCTGTCTGAAGATGGCACAGAGGACAACAGTATATATATATATATATATATATATATATATGAAAACAAGGGGTAGAATCTGAATCTAGTTTCTTGAGGGCTAGGATAATTGCTTGTGCTTTGTAGTTTGAAAATGAGGTTTGAGCTCTATTTGCATTTCCACCAATATTTAGTAATGTTCCATTCATCAGTCACTGCAGAATCCATTCAGTGAGGGTTTCCTGATGACATTATTGGGGGAATATCCTGATAACATCAGAACATCACACTTGATTTCTCCTAAATTCTTCACATAACCTAAACTTTAAATTAAATTGTGTATGTACATTATTTAAGCCTTTCACATTGTGAGTAGACACACAAGCTGTCTTTCACTGGCTGAGGTTCACAAACTGAGGTTCACAAACCTGTCAGACCTGCACCCGCAGAAGAACCCAAACACAACATAAGAAAACAAAGCGTAGCAGTAATTAGATGAAGGTGAACTGTAATGATGCTTGTTTGAGTCGTGCAGTCAATTATTTCATTATTTCAGAATGAAACAATGAAAAAGATACAGAAATAGTTTGAATAGACTTTCAAGAAAGCAATGTTTACTTTCCTTAACTAGAATTCTAAAGCATGGCATCTAAAAGTCCACTTTTAAATCGTGACCGTACTCACTGTTGCCACATGATTTTCTCTCTGTCCATTTCAACGTGTGTGTCGATAATTGAGATTAAACTAAGTTGAGATTGCGATCTTTCACAATTTGGAAGTTTTGGCACAGCGCCACATTACATTATGTTTCTTCTTTCCCCTTTAGACCATACTGCTTGGCAACGGGAGGAGGCACCGTGCGGAGGTCTCTCCACAAATCTGTTTTTTACCACAAGCAAAGCTACGAGCTTTGAGTGGACTCAACCTGGACTCCTGCAAAGCACAAACAGTTTGAAGACTGAAAGAACCCGGCATTCAAGACTCCCTCCTCCTCCCCCTCCTCCTCCTCTTCCTCTTCCTCCTCTTTCTCCTCCTCTATCTGCTCCTATCATCGTGTCGCTCTAACTCACTGCGGCTTGCGTTTTACACACCTCACTTTAAGATCCTTATGCCAACCAGCCAGCAAAGTTTTCCTGAGTCATCCTCTCAAAAAAAGCTGATATTTTTGAAACGCTTTGCCACTTTATGTACTGAACAGAAGTCTGTGAAAACAAAAAGGTTTATGGGTAAGTGAGTTTTTATCCCTGGAAAAATATGTACTGTTTTTTGAACAAAGAATATTTTCTACAACACTCCAGAGCTGTTGTTCTCCATCATAATGCAAAGTTTCAAAAAATAAAATAAAAATGCTATTTTGACATTTATACTACTGATTATATTATATCTTGCCTGCCATATAGCAAAGGTTTCTATATTTTTGCAGTATATTTCCTGCAGTAGCTGCAGAATCACCTGCAAGAAAGTCCACTTGTAACGCCATCTCGTAATGTATAATGTCTATTTATTTACTTATTTATTCATTCTTGTATTTATTAATGTATGAACTTTATTGGATGCACTAACTCTATAGTGCAGAAGGGCTATCTGAGGTGCAAACGGGACTCGCAGTGTACGGTTTTACAGCAGACACCAGCTACGTCAACGTTCGACATGTAGCACCCACACTGTTGTGTTGTTACAAAACAGTTTCTGAAAAATACACTGTGTAGAGCATCATTTACATTATTAACCAGATCCTGTTTTCTTTCCTAGTACAAAAAAGCGTGACAGCAAGTTTCCATGCAAAGAGATGTACTGTAAGTGCAATTTAGTTACGATAATGTGGAATATTATGCATTTTTATACTGTTTATACATCATTAAATATTAAACATTTTCCACTAAAAGGGTTTCTCTGCGTGTGGATGTGATTTTTGTTTTATAAGCTCCATAGACGGTTTATAGATGGACAACGCTAACACGCTAGCTCAAAGAAGCCCGATAGGTATGTGCTCAGGGTAGAAGTTTTTCTCCAACTTGTTCTTGTTCTGGCTCCTATTGACTTTTATTGAAAGGTAAATTAAAGGTAAATCCAGATAAGAGCCATAAGAATTGTCAAATAATAAGCGTCATTCATGGGGGCTGCCTTAGCAATTATCTTAGCAACACGTCTGCCCCTGTAAGATCATTTTCTTTAGACAATAATTGCGTAATTTATTTTATTCTACATTTTGAACACAGTAAAGAAGGCCAACCCGACGTCTTCCTCACTTTTTGTCCAGATATGGCTGAGTCCAAGCAAGGACTTGCTTTGTTCAGAAGAAATCAAGTTTGGTACAAATTAAAGTATAAATCAAATGAAATAATCTGATGTATATAATATGCAAAATTTGAATTAGGAGACTTTGATTTAACGGTAAATCCTAAAAACAGTTGAGTTCAACACTCCTGGGTAGATGTTTCCCCTTTAATAACCCCTGCGAGAGGCTACATGGGGCAACACAGGTGGGGAACCACTGAGCGGTCTTGGCAAGTCTTCCAGTGTCCATTCTCTAATGTGACGAGTCGTTGGTGAAGACCTCCTCCA